ACCCTCCAACGATGTAATGAATTTGGAACCTGACCATATAGAGAGGTGAAAACTGCTCTAATGTGAGCATTGTTACATGAGCGCTCTTCAAGAAGCTTTCCACCAAGACACAGTGCAGGAATCCTTCCTGTGTAAGGTGTATACTGAACAGGAGCTCTGACAAGAGACAGTAAATGAACAGGAATACTTTGGAGAATTCTAGAGTGCATAGCGAGAGATGTGTTTAACCCCTTTCGTTGGATGAATTCATCATAGGTAGCTAGGTCCCCGTTATCATTCAAAAGATCAAACACAAACATAACACCTTGATCATACCAGTCTTTGTAAAACAGAGTCTTGTTCTTGTGAGCAATATGTTGATTGTTCCATAAAGTACATGTGTGAGGGGAAAAGTTGTGTTTGAAAGCCATTTTCCAAGTGTCCAGGGCTTGTTTGTGAAAGTTGGCCAGTTTAATAGGCAGTTTACCGGAGGTAAAGTTGCATGAAAGCAAGAACTTTAAGCTGCCACATTTATTAAACAAAAAATTGGGAATAAAAAACCATGGTTCATTATTATGTGAAAGACAATGTTTTAACCAATTAATTTTGAATATATTGTTGATAGTTTGGAAATCCAATACATTAAGACCCCCCTCTGAAATCTGTCTAATAAGTGTTTTCCTCTTTACGTATTCATTTTTATGTTTCCAAATAAACTTAAATAAGAGTGAATCAATAGCTGCACAGGTTTTGCTATCAACATATAAAGATAAAGCTGGGTATACTAACCTAGATAATCCTTCAGCCTTGGAGAGTAAAACACGACCTATAATGGTAAGATCCCTCTGTAGCCAGCAATTAAAGACAGATTTAGCTTTTTCGATTTTTGGGTTGAAGTTTTTTAAAATTCTTTCACTAGAGGATTTGCTTAATGTGATACCCAAATATTTAACTTCTTTTTTTACCTCTATGCCATCTATTGATACAGTGTCTAAATCATGTATGGCTAATATTTCACATTTTCTCTTATTAACTGTGAGACCAGAAGCATCCGAGAACCTGTTTAAAGCTTTAACAATAACAGGGACTTGAAGATCATTTTGAAGAAAGAGGCAGGTATCATCGGCCAGCTGACTGATGGTTAGAACATCTTGACCTATTTTAATACCTTTTACATTCACACAGTTAACAATGTAAAGATTAAGAAGTTCAGCAGCTATCAAGAATAAGAAAGGGGAAATAGGACACCCTTGTCTTATTCCACGCTTCACATCAAAGCGAGGAGAGGTACCATGTGCCAGGGATACACAGCTGTTAATATTAGTGTAAAGAGTAATTATTATGTTCCTGAAGTTTTCTTTGAACCCAAAATAATGTAAAGCCTCAAAAATAAATGAGTGCTCCACAGTATCAAAAGCTTTGTAGAAGTCCAAAAATAAAATCAATGACTTTTCATCAAACAAATGTCCATAATCTAAAATATCTAAAACAAGCCTGATATTGTTAGAGATGTGTCGACCTTTCATAAATCCTGACTGCGTTACAGAGATAATTTCTTCCAAGCAAAATTTTAGTCTATTTGCGTATAGTGATGCAAGTATTTTATAGTCTGAATTTAGTAACGTTATAGGACGCCAATTATCCAAATAATGTAGATCTTTATCAGGTTTGGGAATTAAGGATATAACACCTTGCTTCATAGAGACAGTCAGTTCAATATTTTTGGCACAATCCATGAAGGCTTCTAACAACATATATTTTAAGTCATCCCAAAAGGTTTGGTAAAATTCATAAGGCAACCCATCGGGGCCTGGACTTTTGTTAGATGGCATTTTTGTAATAGTCTTCTTCAGTTCATCAAGCGTAATTGGACTTTCACAAAGCTCACAATTCTCCGGGGAGATTTTAGGAATGAATGGGGAGACACAATCAAAAAAATCCTGAGAGGCTTGAGGCACAAACAAGGATGAGTACAGCTTCTGATAAAAGTTAGAGATAAAGGAAGAAATTTCATTTTCATCTTTTGAGAGATTGTCATTAATAAATAAAGTAGATATTTTTCTTGCCTCTCCACGTTTTTTCTCCAGATTAAAAAAGAAGGATGAGTTTTTTTCTCCGTGTTCCAACCATTTAGCCCGAGACCTTATAAAAGCTCCCCTTGCCTTTTTCTGGAAATAAAGGTCTAATTTTCCCCTTAATGAGTGCAAACGCACTTTATCTTCCTTACTGAGAACAGGTATACTTAAAATTTCATTAAACTCTTTTAAATAATTAGTATAAGCTTTATTCTGATCTCTTATTTGTTGCTTTCCAAAGCGCATTGAGAAGCGCTGACATTCAAATTTGAAAAGCTCCCATTTTAGGGTAGGTGTAATTTCAGACATTGAATTGAATTTAGTAGCAATTTTTTTAATGCCCAAGCAGTAATCATTTTTTTGTAGCAAGGAAGAGTTTAATTTCCAATATCCAGGTTTGCTACAATTAGTGGATCTTAAACTTGATATAGATATATCTATCCCAGCATGATCAGTTAAGGGAGCAATAGCAATATTACAACTTCGAACCCAGGGAGCTAAATTATCAGAGATTAGCCACAAATCTATACGCGATTTTTGAGATAGGTCGGTTTTAAACCAAGTAAAGAGGTTATTTTCCAAAGGGTGTAAAATTCTCAGGGCATCTAGTAAGGAAAGTTTACCACAGAAATCATAAATAACAGGGTTAAAATTATCTGGACTACCTTTTGCAGGAAATCTATCTGAAAATAAATTTGGAGCTTCGTTAAAATCACCGCCAACAACCACAAATGCTGAAGGAAATTTGTTCAATTCCATGAGGATTTTATCAGATAACGAGTTGAGGAGCGTGGTGTTAGAAACCCTAGAATTAAAGCCATAAACATTTACTAAAATAAAAAAATTATCTCCACATCTAATGACCAACAGAATCCATCTGCCGTCTTCTGAAACCTCAGTGTATATGACTTCACCATTAAATTTAGGATTAAATAAAATTAAAACACCCCCTGAAAAATTAGTACCATGAGAAAAAAATAGCCTCCCCCCCCATTGATTACGCCAAAATGTAACATCTTTTGAAGAGGAATGAGTCTCCTGTAAAAAATAGACATCCTTATTTTGCTGCATACAGAATAAAAATAAAGCTTTTCTTTTGGTTAAATCTCGAACACCCCGTACATTTAGAGAAAAACACGACAAACAAAAATCAGACATATAGAACACAGAAGAACACAACTACTTGAACAGTAGTTGTATTAAGTTATGCAAAAAGTTGAGAAATGTGCAAAACTTGAACTCACAAGCCAAAACCTAACACTGAGTGATCAAAATTGGAACAGACCCATGTAAACTACAAAGCAGGATCATACTACAAATTCAAAAACCCATAGTAGGTATGTAACTATTTTTAAATAGCATACATTTCTCCCTCTCTCCCTTTTAATTTTTTATTTTTTCTTTAATTACTTTTTTTTTATTATTATCTCTCAAAACTCAAGAATTGGAACCAATCAGTATAAACAGGTGCCAAACAAAACACATCCGTTGTTTCTTTAATTTTGTCTATTTAGAAGATAAAGCCAGAGGAATAGAACATCCGAAGCTTATTGCTTGGTTGACAAACATCAACTTTAAACACTGTTCATCCAAAGATGAGAATATCTGTTTTAGGGGAATCCTTTATGGCAAGTCCTCAGCAGAGAACTTCTTACCAGCAATGATGGCAAACGGACCGCTGAAGCCTGCTCTCTTGTTTTGCCGTCTCGCCTCGTCCACCATCGGCCACAGTTTCGCTCTCGCATCCCTCACCTGCTGAGTTAGGTCCTCCGATATTTTGATGTTTTTCTGCTTGAGGACCTGAGAAGTTTTAGCATCCGCCCAGACCTGATCACGGTGAGCCCGGAGCGAGAACCGGACTAGGATGCGGCGCGGGGGGCGTTGATCTTCCTGCTTTGGACGCGGACCCAGCCTGTGAGCGACGTCCACGGTCTTCTGAAGAGAGTCGGCCAGACCCGGTGACACCCGGGAGAAGATGTCGATCACCGTCATCTTTACGTTTTCACCGTCGGACTCTGGGACCCCGGAGATCTTCAGATTCCAGCGTCTGGAGTACGCATCCATGTCGTTCATCCTGTCCACCAGCTTCTTGTTTTCCACGGTCAGCGTTTTAATCTGAAGCTCCAGGGGGTCCACTCTGGCTGAGAGCTCCCCGACGTTCTTCTCCGCTGCCTGGACCGAGGAAAAGAGTGCTTGGATACTCGTTAAATTGTTCGCAATGGATGCCTCTATGGATTCCAACTTCTCTCTGAACCCGAGCTGCGACTCTGTAAGTTTGTTAATTGCTGCTAGGAGGACGGCATTTGAGGGTTCCGACTCGCTGCGAGGCGACTTTTTTTTCTGTGGGCTCCTGGTGGGAGAGTCATCATCCACAGGTTGCTGTTTAGCATATGAATGGCATCGTTTAAAGCTCTCCGTTGTCACCTCCATTGTGTCCATGTCCTCACCTGTATTAGTATCGTCAGTAAAAAAATAAAAATAAAAATAAATTCGAAACTTTGGCAGTTGAAGTTTCTCTTTTTTCAGTTAGCAAGCCACGTCGTGCTCGTAAGCTAGCAATAAATACAGCGGGAGTCAAAGAGAGAAAAATAAAAAGTTAATGAAAGGAATAATGTGGGTCAAAAGGTTCCCTTCATAGTCCCCCACAAGAGCTAAGATACTAGTTACATTTTTTAGGGGTTAAAGCAAGCGAATTCAAGCTTTGAACGAAAAGTTTCACCAGCGCCGTAAAAAGCGTCTTACAGTGGCGCCATCTTGGCCCCCCCCTGAATTTTAGGCTTTCAATACACTTAAACAGAAGAGTGAGAAAAAAATTCAGACCTCAGCACACCGCGGGCAGCCATGTTTTTCCTTGACCGTTCTTCCCGTGTCAAATCTCGCGATACTAAAGAGTGACGCTCGATTCGGAACAGGGCTGTAAAATGCATAGCTCTAAACCAAGTTCCCGCTGCAGAGCAGCCATGACACGTGGCAGCCGGCAGAAGGCTCACGCTTTTCCACTAAACACCCGCAGAGCTACGTCTGCGGTGAACTGAGCAGGGTTTGTTTTACGGTGGCGGATCCGATTGGACCATCGCTGCGAGAAAGCTCCACTTGTGTCAGACGAGCTGAAGGTTCTGATGTTCTGCTCCACAGGCTCTCCTGAAGAAGCACGAGGCCCTGATGTCGGACCTGTCGGCTTACGGCAGCAGCATCCAGGCCCTGAAGGAGCAGGCCCAGTCCTGCAGGGTGAGTTCAGAACCCTCGGCCCGTCAGAACATTCTTATCCACCACGTTCTAACACCAGACCTGTTAACCCGACAGCAACAAGGTGATCAGCAGGTGCTTTTGTCCTGCAGGACCTGAAGGCCAATGAGTCCCGCCTGAGGGACATCAACAAGGTGGCATCTGAACTGGAGTCAGAAGGTCTGATGGCTGAGGAGGCTCCTATGGTTCAGGCTCAGGTGAGCGTCACCTGTCTGCAGCAGCTGGTCCCTCTCACTTCCTGGTTTAACTCTGCTCGTCTCTGTTTGTAGCAACAAGAACATCTGGGTTCTGCTCCTGGAAAGGTGCGTGTTGTCCTCCGCCTCCACCAGAACCAGACGTGGTGTTTATGTTACCACTCATTTGTTTGTTTACAGGATGAAGCCGACTCTAACACGGCGTCACCCTGGAAGGTGAGTTCATTCAGCTGATCAGAGGTCACCTCTGATGGCAGCAGTCACGGCCGACCGTGCTGACATCACACAGGAATTCAGGTGACCCGGCAGGCACCAGGTTTTGGTGAAAGTGGGGACATGTCAGCTGGTTGCCATGGCTAGTTATCTTTATGCATCTGTATGACTGCTGACTGTTGTGTGTTTCCTGTGACCTTTGACCTCAGACCGTACGGTTGGGCGTTCAGACGACGGCTAACTTTAATTCCATCAAGGTAAGAGGAAGCTCTTCCCTTCCTGTCTGAGCGATCCGTCTCCAGGTTTCTTCGTCCGGCGTCCAGCCCGCTGGCGTCCACCTTCATCTCACCTTCATCTCATCTCACTTCATTTATAGTGCAATACTTTCACATTATCATTTTCCCACACTTCTGTATACCTGTATTTTGTTGTTTTTCAATAAAGAATGACAAATTATTTAAGTTTGGTTTTTGTTGCACACAAATATATATCTGTAAAAAAATATCTACAAAGCTAATGTTTACATAACAAGTATGATTGGGTTTTGCAATACGGCACTCAAGTTTATTTTAGTAAGATTTTCAAACCAAGTAAAGTTAGTAAAGAACACATTTCTATTGTCTGCTAAGAAACTGTTGGGATTTAAAATGGGCCTGTTGTACAAATAACTTGTAAATGATTATTCCTCACTTTTGTCTTAACCAAAGAAATTCCAGTAATTGAGCAAAAACATTTATTTTTAACACTACATTTTATAAAACAGGGCGCAAAGTGTCGGCACATGTATGTAAGTCGATGGTCCGCCCCAACCAAACCAAGAGACACAGACGTCAGGGAGGCCAAGGTTGTCTCTGCAGCTCTCTGGGCACCACGTCTCACTCAGCTGTCTTCAATGATCCAAATGGCTATGGAGGAAAAAATAACAGGTTTGGCCTAGCTGTTTAAAGTACAAAACCATTCATGAAGTGGTCAAGACAAGTACTTGGAACTTACACGCTGCGTTGTGTAGCTGACGTTGGAGACACACAGGCTGCCATGGTGACCTTTTAATAGATCTAAGAAAAAAATGTAATAAAAGAATGAAACTTAAAAACTCCCAGACCTCATGTCATATTTACTCATCAGCTATGGCTGATTTGTTTGGATCACAGTGAGTTACACTAATTCTAATATATTTTTATTTCTATTATACATACATACTTTTTAACTTATTTTCACATGACTGTTATCAGGCTCTCTTGTTCTGGTTCTGATGATAACTCTGTGTCTTCCAGTAAGTTATCTTGTGCTTACTTCATCTGTATAATGTCTCTTTACTTTTGGTAAATTGTACTGAGTCCAGAATAAAGGCTAGCTGGCTGTACAAGATACAAACAAGTATTACGTTTTGGAAATATATGAAACACCGCCAGCATCTGTTAGAGCCTGTGGCGGGGTGCTGAGGGCCGGCTCCAGCCCAGGAATGAGCTCTACACGCCGGCCGGGAGGGTTTGAAACACCGCCATCCTCTCCTCTGCTGGCTGTTGTTCATTCTGTTATGGTTACCGGTGCTTGTGTTGCAATGTGAAACGCTTGGTCTCAGATTTTGTAAGAAAGATAATAAAATGTCCCCCCAAAATACGACTTAAATATATTTTCTCTTCTTCATGATACATTTAATGGCTGGTGCGACTCAGGAGTGATAGCGCCAAAAAAAACTACTGAAAACTTGCTCAAAGCAAAATGTTTTCATTACGGAAATAAATTATAAACTTAACGATTTAAAACTTTTTTAATACAAGTACTTCTCACGAACAGGCGCAGAAAACCTCCACCTAAACTCCGTGTAAGGTTCAGGTCGATGGGTGTTCCAGTTACCTCCGGTTGGGTTGAAGCTAGGTGGCTACATCCGTTAGCTCGGCTCCCACCTCCGCTTTAGCTTTGGGTTAGCCAGGGTTAGCTTCAGGTTAGCTCGTAGCTAGTTCGCCTGGGTGTCGTCACTCGAGCCCAGCCTTACAGCCACACCCTCAGCGCCTCCTCTCTTCCCTTTTATGGAATTGTCTGGGCTGGACGGAACCTGTGACACGGTCAAAATGGCGGTGGTGGACACCTCCCATTATGGACAGATAACGTGTTATTGAAGTCTATGGAATCGAATTGTCCAGTATATGTACAGTCTATGCTCTAAACACAGAAAGCCCTTAGACTCTTCATTACAACGTTTCGCTTCAAGAGTTACATTTAAATAAAGTTCTTAAATCACTTTCAATGCATGCAGATGTTGACCTGCTTAAAAGTTCAATTCATTTAGTAAAATAGGGCTAACATGGCTGAAGGACCTCATCATCAGTGTTGGGAACGTTACTTTAAAAAGTAATTAGTTATAGTTACTGATTACTTTGTCAAAAAGTAACTCAGTTACTAACTGAGTTATGAGATTATAAAAGTAACTAATTACCAAGAAAAATAACTACCTAGTTACTTTTTTCATTAAAAAATGCTAGAAGAATGGGTTAATTGAACTTAATTCACTATAAATGACTAATGACTGGAACATAATAAAATGTAAGTCCAAATGTTTTTTATAAACCTGAATAATTTAAATAAATAAGCACTTAACAGGAGGAACTACTAACAGGAGCATTACACTTATCTAGACTATTAAAATGTCACTGTGTGATATTTAACAAGACCCCAATCAGCTAAAATTTTAAATTGCAAATAGAAACACCTGTAAAGGTTCCCGAGCCTTTAAATGGTCTCTCAGTCTAGTTAAATTACAGAAATAAACGTAATTTTGCACAGTATTCTAATTTTTCCAGCTTGACATAATTGTGTGTTTTTAGCAGCATTTCTGTTGCTGGTAATCTAGTAACAGTTAAATAAATAAATATAATTCTTTAAAATGACACTAGAAGAGGCACAAGCCTGATGGAGGACTTACATTTACTAACTTGGGTCAGACCCAACCACAGAAGAGCTGAAGCTGGGTGGTAAACACACACAGGTAGTTCTGATAACACCTGAGCTCCATGACGTCTGAGACTGATGCATCAGTGTTACAGCGGGACTAAAGACATGATCAGAAACAGGTTACAGCTGGATGATCTAGGAAGGTAGATGATCAGGACGTCTGAGCGGTGAACAGGTGAGCGGACCTTCGGGACGTCCCGCTGTCACGCTAAGAAGGGCACGGCAGCAGACCCACACCTGCAGCCGTAGATATTCATCACGTCTTCCTCGTTCTTCACGGCCGTGATGCGCTCGGATGAAAACATCTACCTCTTTAGCTCCTGATCAGCTGATGACAGCTTCAACACACCGCACTGCTTAATGCACACATTTCCTGATCAGTAACAGAAACGACGTTTTGATAAAAGAAGACGTAATTAATTAGTTTGCTCGTTACAGAAAGAAATATTGTTTTATTAACGCGGTTATTTTAAACAGCGTTATTACCATCACTGCTCTGTTGTGTCTACAGCAGGCAGCGACTGAGACAGTGAGGGTCCCCGCCCACCCGGCCAATCATCATTGTGTTTGTAAGCGTGCTACCGACACCTCTCTCTCCCTGGCTGCAGCTGAGGTGTGGCGGTCAGAAAGCCTCACACTGTTGCTCAACGTTCGACAAGCACATAGTAACGCACAACCTTCCGTCCCCAGTAATGGTAACGGCGTTGCAACGGCGGGAAAAGTAATTAATTAGATTATTCCGTTACCTAAAAAAGAACGCCGTTATACTCCCAACACTGGCCATAATACAACGGAAACTAAAACAGAAACTATGGACTAAGTTACAAACTCTCATTTAAAAGTATTTTGTTTTGTTAATATAATCTAAACAAAAATTTTATAACGTAACAAAAACAAATAGTGCAAATTACTTCTTTTTCCCCATCAGGAAGGTTCTTTGGTGTCCGTGTTACACGCGTGATTATCAACATGATCAGTTCACCGTCGTGGCTCGTTCTGATTGGCAGATTTTTATGGTAAAATATTCGTTTGTGACTCTTTTTTGCTTTGTGACGTTTAACTCAAGTCACTCAAAGTGCTAAATTACAATAAAATAAAATCCAGTAAAACATTTCTTTACTGAATAAAATCCCTCAAACTAAAACAGCGTGTGTGTGTGTGTGTGTGTGTGTGTGTGTGTGTGTGTGTGTGTGTGTGTGTGTGTGTGTGTGTGTGTGTGTGTGTGAGACTTGTTGATGATAATCGGAACTGTTGGTATAACTGCTGAACATTAAGATCACTTGAATAAGTTTTTGTTTCCCACAAAAAAACAAAAAGATAAAACTACCCTGAAAAGAACATCCAGCTACAGAAACAGACATTCAGACGCGACAGCGGTGAGTCCTGTTCCTTTCTTACGTTTTAGTGTAAATGAATAAAAAACAAGAGCCTTTCTAAGCGACGCCAAACGTTTGAGTGGAGTTGTGGATCTTAGCTTCCTGGTTTTGACTCAGCGTGGAAGTCCAGGAAGTCAACAATCCGATGACGTGTTCTCCACTGGACCGAAGCCGTGAACTGGGCTTCCCTCTGTAGAACCATAAGTCTTCGCTTTCTGAGGTTCTTCTGTGGCACAAACAGGTGATTTGTTGTCGAGCACTCTTGGAAGGTAAAGCTGCCAAAACATCAAATAAACAATTTTACTTTTTATTTTTGCACTTCTCTAATGCAAAAATAAACATTTTCTCTAAAACCACTAATATTTACTGCATATAACCCTTCATGTGTTGCATTATCTAGAATAGTCATCCACTCTGCAGTAGGGATGGGTACCTTTGACATTTGAATCGATTCGGTACTAATTCCCGGTACCTAGGAATCGATACCGGTACTTAACGGTACCAATTTTCGATACTTTTGAGTGTTTAATATTTTAATTCTCTTTTATAATTAAATATTTATTTTTCTCAATTTATAACCATATTTGACAAATATCACGATAAATAACATACAACTGGTTGTATTTTAACATCGTCCTTGTAGTTTTATAAGCTGATAATTAAACTGAAGCAAACATCTTTACTGTGAACTAAATTTACTGTGTATCTTCATTCCTTTTGCCTCCTTTTTCATTTGATTTTTCCTACTGGGAAGATAGAATTTCCGAGGAGAAAGCGAACGCACCATTAGCGGAACGGAAGCTAACACATCAAGCTAACGTTATCTTAAACAGTTTATTTAGCTACTGGAGCAGATTAAAACGATGATGCCTCACACTTAGATCGTTGTCGCTGGTTTCATCTTCACCCAATCACCCGTCGCATTTAGTAAAGTGAAGCCAAACTTTAGAGCACGTTCATGTTCTTCCAGTCGGAAATTCGGAGTTCCGAGGAGAAAGCGAACGCACCATTAGCGGAACGGAAGCTAACATATCAAGCTAACGTTATCTTAAACAGTTTATTTAGCTACTGGAGCAGATTAAAACGATGATGCCTCACACTTAGATCGTTGTCGCTGGTTTCATCTTC